GAGGTAGAGATTCCAAATAGAAGGTAAAAGAATGCCTGAAAGATTCCTAAATCCCAAAGACAAAGCCCCGGGATTCCTCCAGGAGGGTGCTGCCTGCACAAATGGGGTTGCCTCTGCTAGGTGCATGCATGAATTCCTTTGGGGGAACATGTGTTTCCTGAGAGCAGTCATTCACAAAGTAGCCATGCCCTCAGGAGTTTTGATTCTGGAAAGAAGAGATGGATGCTGAGATATCTCTGATTTGTCAAGAGCTGGAAAGCCACTTTGTATACCAAGGAACACAAATGGGAGCGGAGGTGGAGAGGGAGGAGCAGGAAGAAGACTACCTTCTGCCCTTTCTTTCAAGGCTTCTCAGGAAGTTAAGCCTTCACTGAGGGTAGAATTGAAAAGCAGGAAAATGTGACCCCAGGCATTCTTGTTGTTTATTTGTAGCTCTTCCTGTGTGCTAGTACTTAATAAAACGATGCACTTTCTGAGTAGATACGACTATTCTCTTCATTTCCCCAATAAGGGAAGCAGAATCACAAAGTCTTCTTAGAGTGTCCAAGAATGTGACCAGAGGCATACAGATGGAGCACGCTGAATCACTTATGTCTGTTTTGAAAGCTGGATCTTGAGCCCTCTCCCAAGCCCCACGATGTCCCATCCAGGGGACCAGGTGCCTGGATCCAGCCTTGCACCTGCACAGAAAGGCATCTTCTATAGCACTCAAATCTTCATTGATGGGGGTTCCATAGCAGAGGTCTGGGACTGGGCTGAGTGTCTGAGAGCTCAAGCAACTTTTAAAGAATATATCTTCTGCCATTCTACAGATGAGGCTCAGGCTTAGTAAATTGCCTAAGGTCACCACAGTAAGTGGTGAGGCCAAGATTTCACACCATCTCATCCCATCTGGGCAAACTTCTAGGCTCAAGACAGCTACAATTGTAAAGGGCAGCTGTCTTGAGCAGCTATCTTGGCTGGCAGCAATTTGCTCTGGAAGATGGAAGAGCATTCCCCAGGAGAATCCAGACTCTCAGCTGTGTCAGGAACATTGTGTAACACATTCAGAAGCCAGTCTCCTTTGCTCAGTGTTGATGCATAAATTTGTGTGCAACTTCAGACGTTTTTGCTCATCAGCTCAGGCCCTTTTTGATGCATCTGGGTTTAACTATCTGCATTATAGGCATTCAGAGTAGCACCCTAGGCCCTTATATAACCTTGGCCAGAGCAAAGTGAACTTCCCCGGCAGCAGGAGGAGGGCACCAGAGCTGGACAGGGGGCCCAGGTTTTTTCTTCTGGATCTGCTGTCCCTTAGCCATGGGGCTTTGAGTAAGTCTGCCACTGCTCTGAACCTCAGATGCCTTTCCTGACCACACTGGAATAAGAACTGAAAATTCCTGGGCTTCCTCTGAAGCTCAAATGGGATCCTGTGTGTAAAGTTTCTGGCAAGGGCCTGGCACATGTGGGCCCCCTGCCCTTGTAACTAAGTAGTTAAAGGTGAGCCCTAGATTCTCAGAGCAATTATCAGACCTGATAGAGGGAAGGCTTGAGAGAGAGTTGTATACTTGTTTCCTTAGTATTTCTCTCTATCTTTGTCTCTCTCTCTCTCTCTCTCTCTCTCTCTCTCTCTCTGGTGATACAGGGGGTTGAACTCAGCCTTGCGCTTGTTAGGCAGACACTCTACCACTTGAGCCACACCCCCAGCCCTTTTGTGGGGGTTATTTTCAGATAGATGGGGTTTCACTTTATCCCTGGGCCACAGGCCTCCTATTTTGACTTCCTCGCATAGCTGGGGATGGCAAGTTGTGCACCATGGTGCCTAGCCATTGATTGAGATGAGTTTTTGTTGTGGGTTTTTTCAAGATAGGGTTTCATGAATAATTATTTGCTCGGGCTGGCTTCAAACTGTGATCCTCCTGATCTCTGCCTCCTGAGCAGCTAGGATCACAGGCATGAGCCACTGGCGCCTGGCTGGCGAGTATTTCTTAAGCACCGGTTCTGTAAAGGGAAAAACACAGCTCTGTGCCAGGCTCACTGTGAATCAAAAAAGAAAGAAAGTCTTTTTTTTTGTTTTCACTATTCTGTGGTTTAACTCAGGGCCTTGCACTTGCTAGACAGGCACTCTAGCACTTGAGCCACACCTTCGGCCCTACATTCTTCAAGCCTTAAAGAAAGGAAAAGACAGGTAGACAAGTGAGGTAAGCAAGGAAGAGATGTGGAGAGTTCAAATAAAATGGCCATCCATTTTATTTATTCAGTGTTCCCTCCTCTTCCTCCCTCTTTTCCTCCCCCCTTCTCCTCCTCCTCTTCAACTAGGACTTCTGTCACCAGTGACAATAACAACAGTTCTTTTTTGCAAGTACACCTCACTATGCCAGTAAATCTCCTCTCCCAGCCTCCCATCATGTGAACAAGATGCTCAGGCCACACACCATCAAGATTGAGAGGACCAATCTTCAGCCAAGGCTTCAGAGTGGGTTGCCCTGAGTTTGAATTCTAGTTCTATAATGAGATGCATGAGCAGAGTGTAGGTGTGTTGTTGGACTTGTTAAGCTCTAGCCTTCTTCACTCATGTGATTCTTTGGATAATAATGAAGGGTGAACGAGAATACATAAGTTCTTATCTCAGTGTCTGGCACATGAGTGCTCCAACATTGTCCTTGACGTTACTGTCCATTCTAGAACCACGATCCTGGACTGGAAAGATGGTGCTGCTACTTATGTGCTGTGTGCTGTTGAGAAGTTGCTTAAACTTTCTGCCCAGTTTCATACTTAGGGTTGAATTTTCTGTACTATTAGCATTTGGTGAGGTAAGCTTTTTCAGTTTATTTCGTGCTCAGAGTATCTTTAGGATTGTTATGAGAATTAAATAAAATACAATGTTTATAGTCTCGTATTAGATATGTATGTATATTTCTTACACTGTTGCCTGGTATATAAAGCACAATATAAATGTTGGTTATCATTTTAATTCATCCAGATCCTTTATTCAATAAACGTGAGCTTGGCTCTGGGCATGGTGTTACACGCCTATAATCCCACCACCTGGGATGCTGAGGCAGAAAGATTGACAGTTTGAGGCCATCCTGAACTACATAGTGAAACCCTTTCTGAAAGAAAGAGCGAAAGCGAGAGGAAGAGAGAAAAGGAGAGAGTGGGAAGGAGGGAGGGAGGGAGGGACAGGGAGAGGGAGGAAGGAAAGGAAAGAAAGAAAGAGAGAGAGAGAGAGAAAGAAAGACAAATTTCTTTCTACTAAGTGCCAAGCAATCTGCACACTCATGAAACTTACATTCAAGTGGGAAACAGGTAAGAAACAAAATAGGATGCTAGAAAAACAGGGAAGCAGTATAAGTTTGGCCAAAGATGGACATGCGGGTGGGGGGTAGGCTTGCATAGGGATCCTTCTGAGTGAAGGCTGTGAAACCTTTCTCATGTAGGAATAAAGAAAGGTGGTTGCATTTAGCCAGCTACAGTATAGACATTGACCCAGGATAGGAAGTACTTACCTATGCCCCTAGCATGTGGAGATGCTCAGAAAGTGTCACCTGTTATGTTACTCTGGTTATGAAAGGTAGGTGTTTGTGCTCTGAATTACCTGTGGAGTGTCCATCTAGGAGTTGACACCCTGTTGGCTTATCTTCACTGGAGCCTGGGCCCTGACCCTCTGCCCATGGTGCCCTAGGCCTCTGAGCTATACTTGCTCAGGTTTGTCACCATGGCCACAATCCCTCATCAGAAACATGCTCTCAGCACACAGATGGACTGGGGTCAGAGAAATCATATCTAAGTTGGGGACAGCAAGAAAGAAATACCAGAGAGAAACAAATACAGAGAAAATCAGACAGTCAGAGAGAAAAGACAGACAGAGAAAGAGATATCAGCAATGGAGAGAGGTGGAGGAGAAATCAGTGATCAGAGACCTTCTGTCCTATCTTATTGATCTTTACATGGAGAAAAGGCTGCTGAATGGGCAATTTAAAGACCCAGGGCTGTGATTTGTCTCCCAAGAGATTATATGTTGGAGGCTTAGTCTCCAATGTGGCAATGTGAGATGTGGTGGGACTTGGGAAAGATGGACCTAGTGGGAGGTCCTTGGGTCATTGAGGGTACATCCTCAGAATGAATTAAGGTAGTTTTCATGAGATCCCAAGTTAGTTCTCAAGAGGGCAGGTTGTTCTAAGAGTAAGTCTGACCCCTAAATCACTCCCTGGCTTCTTCCTGCCTTAGATGTGATGCCTTCCCCCTGTACTGGCTCCCTCCGTTATGATGACATCCACCACACAGTCCTCATGAGAGTTGAGACAAGACCAACTCCATGCCCTCGAACCTGCAGAACTGTGAGCTAAATAAACTTCATTTCTTTATAAAGTTACCTGACCTCAGATATTTGTTACAGTGATGAAAAATGGAGTCACCAAACGCTATTAGGAACCCTTTTCTGCACTAGTGTTGAGCCCCAGGTAAACTTTTATCCAACTCCAGACCTCTCAGTTTCCCTTTCTGTGTTCTTTACAGCCCCTTTTAATTCTTATAGTCTCTGTTTACAATTCCTCAGTTGACCTTCTCTGAATCAGAAGACATTTCCACTCATGGGTAAAGCACAGACTTTATTCATAAATGTCAGTACAATATGTACCATAGGAAGCTCACATCACAGACATGGGGTAAATGACTTAACAATAAATTAGTGGAAAGCTGACTTTGTCATTCCAGGATCACTCCCAGGATCTTAAAGGCACATTTCATTATAAATATCATAGTAGACATCTTGGCTATTTTCGAGAGGGATCATAAGACCAGCCAGTGGGACTTTCAGCTGCCTGGTGAGATTGAATCAAGCCCAAATTTTTCCCTGTGATACCTCAGTCCTAGAGAAGAGAATTCCAAATCAGCAGGAAGATTTCTGGAAAAAAATCTTCATTTAGATAAATATGGGGGTCCCATCTCTCTCCCCCTCAAAGTCACAGGAAGTCACACAGGGGTTGTTCATCCCTGGAAAACTAGACAGGCTCTTGGTATCAAGCACCGGAAGTTTTTTGGTGATTCTTGTCAATCCAGGCTAAAAAGATGTCAAGCTCTCCCAGTGACTTAATGGCAGCAGAACGGATCTCCAGCTGAAACCAATAAAATCATAATGAGACCCTACCTCTACAGACTGTGCTGAAGTTTGCATATCATGGTCTCCATATTCTAGTCCCCACGACTTTGCTTTTTATTCATCAAATATATTTGCAAAGCACACATTCAAAATTATTTTCCAAATAGGCAAGCAAATTTTTTCCTACAAACAAGTGGTTAAATCATGTCAGCTCCTTATAAGCAAAATAAAAAATTCTTCATTCCTTTCCCTCTGTTTTTTTCCCCTGCTTTTCATAGGAAAGATTGGCCCTTTGCTGGCCAGTTTTTCTTTTCTTTTTCATGTTCTTTTTGCATCACCTCTCTCTACTACTTCTGTTCTCACAGGAAGTCTTTGTATCTTTGGTGTTCTCCAGTGGGTTGGGACACATAATGTCCCCATTACACACAGTAGAGTATCAACACCCCAAAGGTAAGTGTTCTCCCCAGCATCACGCAGCCATTTAGTAAAAAAGCCAGAACTAAAGCGTGACTCAACACTACTCCACCTCCTTTCACACTAAAAAGTGGTGGTTAGATCGCAAGACACCTCTGTTGGAGCCAGCCAGTGTGGGACCACATCCAACCTCCACCACCGAGCTGCAGAATGAACTTAACCTGCTACGTCTCAGTTTCCTAATTTATCCAATGTAGGTAACAGTCTTAGCATCGTGAAGGATTGAGGTGTCCATAGTGTAGTGGCCAGGAACAATACTGGGTTCACAGTAAGAACCACTTGACTCTTAGCTCTTTCTACAATATTATCCAATTGAGCCTGTCCACAAAGAAGCAGAGTTCTGAATAGACTCCAACTTCCTTGCTCTTCAAAGTGGTAGCATCATTTGGGAGCATGGTCCAAATGCAGAATCTCACCATGGACCTACAGAACCAGAACCTTAACTTGGATAAGATCTTGCAGTGGTACACATAAGAAGTGTTGCTTTTATACTGACATCTATGTGAGAAGCACTGTGTCTTCATCAGACCCTGATCACAAGGACATCACACATGAAATACAGTTCGTGCCTAACAGTTCAGGATTCACTGCAAATCTTTGCTCCCTCTGTATCACCCCCATCTTACCCAGTATGTGCTTTTCCCCAAGTTATAACAGGTTAGTCCTGGTAAGTGAAGGCATAACAAAATGGTAGAGGATGATGGAGAAGGAGGACCCAGGAAATTAGCCAATGAGGTAAGACCAACACACAATTTGCAGAGGGAGACTTGGGCAAACCTTCAAAGTGAATGAATGATTTTTGAGTGAAGAGGAGGCTGAACATTTGGCAATGTTCAGCCAATGTTTGATCATTTCATTTACCATCTTCCCCTTCCTCTTCCCAGAGCTCACCTGATTGTAGTTGTCATGGATGATTCTGGTTGCATTGGTGGCTTCCTGACTACAGTGACACCGACTCTGCACCTGCTGTAATACAGAGGAGGAGACAGCTTACCACCTGGCCCTCTCTTACACTACCTCTCTGCAGAAGTAGCACTTCTCCCCACTCCCAGGTAAGACAGGTGAGCAAACTCAAATGGAGCAGTCATGGGAGAATTTTGTCTGTAGAGTCAGCCTGCATTTGTCTATGGCCTTGGCTTTTTGTGGATTTACAGCCCAAGAAAGCAAGCACAATATCTATGCAGCATCCCAAAAGGTAGACACTCAACAAACGTATTTCATGTTAATTAAGTAACTGGTTAAATGTATCCATTTGATTCCATTATTGTAGTAGTATAGGCAGAACAGGGATCATTACCCCTTCTAACAATTTTAGAACCTGAGGCACAAAGAGAAGAAATCACTTGCCACAAAGTCACACATGAAATCGGCAGCAGGGATGGGGCTGGAATCTGGGGTTTCTCCTGGTCTAAGTTTTTGTTGGTAGTTTTGTTTTTGATTTGAATGTTTAGTTTTAATAAATCACAGTGAATTTACAGGTAACCCTTAGGAACAAACTACACCAAGAAACTACCCATTGTTTTTCAGGTATGGAAACCCCAAAGGGCCAGAAACAAAAAGACTAGGAATGGGCTTCTAAGACTGGAGTGCTTGCATTCCTCTCACAGGCCACTGAACACTCAGGAAATACTTGGACATAAGTTGGTTGCCCCAGGGGTATTATCCATGAGAAGACCCCGCTGATGAGATGTCAGCCAGCAGGAAGCCTTGGGACAGGAGTGACCACAGGAAGAGGTTCTCCGTACTTCTCCCATGGACAACAGGGCAGGGAATTTCCTTTGACTCCACCAGCCCTATCAGAAGGCCAGCTGGGGCCCAGGCACTCCCTGGGGCAGATGGGAAGCACGTGTGTATCCCAATACACTGACTTACACATTCCTGCAGAGTTTTCTGTATGTAGAGGAAAGAGTTGGCAATGCTGCTGACTTTTCTCAAAATTTGGGGATCCAACTCCTGATGATCCTTGAACACCCTGTCCACGTAGAATGCCAGGAGGTTGTTAGTCATGCAGCACACATCTGTGGGCTATAGACACAAATTAGAGACACCCCACCCCCAGACCTTCTTTTACTATCTTAGAGACCAGGAGGCAAGAGAACTAAAAGTTACTTTCCAAAATTCATAATGATCACAGAGTATTCATCCACTCTTTCCACAGCTAGCCTATATAGGAGTCAGGCCCTCTCCTTTTTGTGGCCAGGAGGTACATTAACAAAGGATGGGGCCCAGCACCCCATCATAAACTAGAATTCTCCCTACAGTATCCCCAGCATGCTAAGTACTGCTTAAATCCTTCCAGGAATCAGGCATCTCCTTTTTTAAGAGGGCCGATGGCTGAGCAGATTTCTTTTTTTCTTTTCTTTTCTTTTTTTTTTTCACAATAGAATGAGCAGATTTCTTGAGAAGCATTTCCTTGGATTACAGAGGCCAAAGCTGGCTGCTCCACAATGTCTCCATCCATCAACATTCATGGCTAGGCATACCAGGCATCGTACAGATACGTGTTTATCCTGGCCAGTCTGCCCTGGACCACACTGCTGGGTAATCTTCCAATCTGTCTTTTTTTTTTTTTATACACACACTCCTTTCAATTTTGTGTTAGTAGTGAAAAAGATTTAATTGGCCCTTATTTTGACATAACAATAATTAAATTTAACAAAATTTATCATTGCATCTGTAAGCCAGTTTATACAACAAATGACAACTCAAGTATTTTTGGTGTAATACTTTCCAAAAATACATATATTTTACTTCCTGTTTTATTTTTCCAGAAGTTATATAGAGGGCCTTATTTTGTGAACATAGTTGAGAAGCTTTGCCTGTTTTTCTAGAGGTCCTCCCTTATTCTCTCCTGCAGGTTCTCTTTTGAAAGGCCTGTCAGTGTACTACCTTGGCTGATTGTGTCTTCTATAGTCAGTTGGTCTGTTGGTTCTTATTTGTCAGTAGCTTTGCATCTGGTTAAAGTCTGTTTTACTGTCACCATGAAGTCTTTGTAAGTTGCTCAGTTTTACTGGATTCTATTGTCATTCTGTTGTCTGATGTTTAGTTTCAATGAAAGACTATTAATTGATCTTTGCCTTCATTAAATAGATTTTTTTTCATTTTTCTTTTATTATTCATATGTGCATACAAGGCTTGGTTCATTTCTCCCCGCTGCCCCCACCCCCTCCCTTACCACCCACTCCACCCCCTCCCTCTCCCCCCCCTCAATACCCAGCAGAAACTATTTTGCCCTTATTTCTAATTTTGTTGTAGAGAGAGTATAAGCAATAATAGGAAGGAACAAGGGTTTTTGCTGGTTGAGAGAAGGATAGCTATACAGGGCATTGACTCACACTGATTTCCTGAGCGTGGGTGTTACCTTCTAGGTTAATTCTTTTTGATCTAACCTTTTCTCTAGTACCTGTTCCCCTTTTCCTATTGGCCTCAGTTGCTTTAAGGTATCTGCTTTAGTTTCTCTGCGTTAAGGGCAACAAATGCTAGCTAGTTTTTTAGATGTCTTACCTATCCTCACCCCTCCCTTGTGTGCTCTCGCTTTTATCATGTGCTCATAGTCCAATCCCCTTGTTGTGTTTGCCCTTGTTCTAATGTCCACATATGAGGGAGAACATACGATTTTTGGTCTTTTGAGCCAGGCTAACCTCACTCAGAATGATGTTCTCCAATTCCATCCATTTACCAGCGAATGATAACATTTCGTTCTTATTCATGGCTGCATAAAATTCCATTGTGTATAGATACCACCAATCTGTCTTTTTAAACTGCTGGGATCATTTGAATGGGGCTGAGATTTGCAAGACTGGAGACTGACAGCTGTGGAAATGAGTACATGTGGGTAGGTCCTCTCGCTGCCACTGTGGAATGCAGGTCTCGCTAAAAGAGCACTCTTAAATCCCCAAGGCACAGAACAGAAAGGTTGGCTAAACAGTGTCTTTCTAGCAATTTGCCTGTCCTGTGAATTACCAGCAGTTTACAGGTAGGTCTGAGTAGGGAGTGGTACACAGTGTGATGGCTGCATTCATCTTCATTAGCATTAAAGGGACAAGCCTCTTGGGCTTCCTAGATGGCAGCAAAGTCAACCTGTGACACAGAAAAGCTCTTCCTCCACTCTCACTGGGCCCTTAACCAGACCAAAGGGGCAAAATGCTCCTGTGTGTTATCAAAGATAGTGGTAATTAGAAAAAGGAGTAGAAAAAAGAAAGGGAGGGAAGGAGGGAGAGAGGAAGGGAAAAGAAAAAGGGAAGGAAGGAGGAAGGAAGGGAGGGAAGGTGGAAAGAAGTGAGGGAATAATGATACAGATTTAGATCCTTGTTGACAACTTTCCTTATTCCTCTCAGCTATTTCTCAACCTTGAAAGGAGAAAGAATCTGGAGACAGAGGCCTAAACTTGGGGTCTATTCCTAGCTCTGCCACTAACTCATCATTCTCCTGCCCAAGATCCCTGTTTCCCCACAGATATATCTTACCCTTCCTTGGTCACTTAAATCCCTGTTTTTAAAAAAATAATAATAATAATGATGATAATAGCCTGGATCTTTCTAGAATAGATCCAAGAACTGAAAGAATTCACTTTAAAGACACCTCTTGGAGCCCCTTGCATAACAGTCGGTTAGCTGACTGTCTTGTCAAAGAAGACAGACAAATTTTTCTGTACTTTCTGTCTCAACAGTGAATGATCTCACAGATTTCCTGCATCAAGTTGCCAAGATAGAGCACACCATCTCTAGAATATTCTGTAGTCTAACTTTTGTCTCAAAAAAACTTTCAGTGACGCTACCGACTGTTATAAAGTCAAGACTCAAGCTGACTTCCAAAGACTTAAGGATAGTTGTCTACGTTATCCCTTCCACTTTCCTGTATGTCCACATCAAAAACCTGTTCCACCTCGCTGTCCTCTCCACATGGTCGTGGTTCCTGCCTTCACTGATCTGATCATTCTCCCATGTACCCCAAGTCCTTTCCTCCTGTCGTCCCCTAATCTATAATCACCTCAGATTTTCAATGACTCCCCTCATGGAACCTTCCAAATTATTCCCAAACCACAGAAATCATGCTCTTTGAGCACCCAGCATGTCACAGTCTAAGGAAGTAGCACTTCTTTAATCCCTCCCAGAGGTTTCACGGTCCCTGGGACACTAACGTGCCCAAACTCTTTAACAGACAAATAAGAAACCTGGGACACTGAGTTGGGATTTCCTTCTCAGCCAGGGCCATTTTACTAAAAAGATAAAAATGCACAAAAAACAGACACAGACCGGTCAATACCTTAGTGCTCTGCAGAGTCTCCAATGTGGACAGGATGGTGACATTTTGAAAGGTGTCCTTGTTTTGCTGTGGAGGGGAGCAGAAGGACAAACAGAAGAGATGAGCACTCCACTTTCTCCTGAGACACCACAGATAAACAGGAAGGAGCTTGCTTTGGAGCTAAGATGTGAGGTGAGACACTCCCCTCCCTACACCTTCACCCAATCCATACTCACCAAGGCTCTTTTCATCTCCTGGAAACTCTTTTCTAGATGGCGCATGTCCATGGAAATCAGACATTTCCTGAGACCACGACTGCACACTGAGCACAGGATAAGTGTCATGCCCAGAAGCCAAAGGGAAACACACTGTACCTTCATGTCCTGCAGAAAGGGTGGCCCTGTAGCTGCCCAGCCTAGAGTGAAGAGCAATGAAAGAGGAAACCCAGATGGATGAAGTCTTTCTGGGCACCAAACAGTGGGGGCCAGGCAATATCCAAACCTCAGCCTTGAGGAGTGTCTGGGGCTCCTCCTCTGGTTTTCTTGATCAATTGAATATGCTCCCTCCTCGCCCCCACCGGAAAGCACAATAGGTCCTCTCTCAAGTGCCTGAGAGCACATTTCTATGTCTATCACTCTAATTCAACATAGCTTATTTTGTCAACAGGGGTGAAAAGTATTGTTTTTAATAAATTGAACAAGGAAAATGGAGTTGGTAATATGCCATAAAAATTAGGCAACAGATCTGAAAAACCATAAAAGCACATTTGGCTTTTTAGACTTGCCCCCGGAGTAAGCAATACCCTTTTGTTATAAAACCCCAGTGTGTATCTACTTAAAATCACTTGTGTGGAGCTTACTATGCAGATTTTTGCCTTCTGCAGAAGATGGAAAAGGAAGGCACAAGACATCTTTTGATGACTACTTAGCCAGGGAGGAGACAGGGTAGGGCTGCTGGCTTCCCATCTGTCACCCACTGAGTCAGAGAGAGAGAGGGCCATGTTTGCAGCTAGCTAGTTCCTAGGTAGGGTCAGACCCTGGGTACTTGTTGCCTTTTCTCATTCTCTCACCCTTCTTGCCTCTTTTTCTTTCTGCCTCTTCCTTTAACTACTCTGAAGTGTATCTTGTGATGCACGAGGAGACAAGTGTGTTACGCATCATTCATTGTACAGTTTATTATCTTTCTGTGACTTCCCCCACCCCCAAATAGCACAATCTTCACACATAGAACTTAGTCCTAAAGGTAACTCCTAGGGCCAAGAGTGTGACTCACCAGTCCTGTACCCAGTGTCCTCCACTGAGACTCTCAGTTCCAGCAGTGCATACTGGGACTGGTATATCTATCCTGTGTGGCAATAGGGGAGAGGAGGGCCCTGAACATAGAAAGCATCTGTGGAGCTGCAGAGTTCCCCATCCCACCTCTGACTGTGGTAATAGTGGCTGTAATATAAAAAGGCCCAAATAAGCAGGTCCCCACTCTCACCACCACTGCCCATATTCCCCTAGGATTCCCAGGCTCCCTCTCTAAAAATCCAAGGAAGAGCAGGTCCCTGCCTCTCCTTAACTCACATCCTTCCCAGAGCACAGGCAGATGTATTGTGAGGCTTCACGATGGGCACGAAGAATGCTAAAAAGCATTCTTGATTTCTCTGTTCTCACCTCTTTCTGGGAAAATGAGGAAATAGACCCCATGATCAGGGAAGTCTATGGAGACCATGAAGTCTATGATGTCTCCATAGTCTTGCCAAAACTCTGCCCCCTCAAGAGGTGATTCCAGACATCTTGGTCCATTCCAATAATAACGGTAGGTAACATTCAGCCTACACACCATGTGTGCCGTGTTGGGCACTGTGCCAAGCATTTTACATAATAATCTTGTTTCATGCTCACAACCATCCCATGAGGGCTTGTTTCTATCCCTATTTTACCACAGAGGGAACCCAGACGTAGGGAAATGAATTAACCTGCCAGAGCCCCTGCTTGAAGGTTGGCAGCCAGTTCAGGCACCACCTCCTTGCGTCTGCTTACAACACTCTTCCTTTTAGCCTGTCAGCTGGGATCCCAGCACTTCCCTCTGCACCAGACAGACAGGAACCCGGTTCTGATGGGGTCCTACTGATCCAGAAGTAAGCACCTTACATATAAAAAGATATTTAACAGTGCAAAAGATTTTTAAAAGATGCTATATACATTGCCCAGCAAGTTCCTGGAATGAAAAGTCAAGAGTAAAAATGTTAGTTCCTTTGCCTTTTTCTTTTTCTTTCTCTTTCTTTCTTCCTTTTTTCCTTCCTTCTTTTTCTTTCCCTTCCTTCCTTCTTTCTTTCCTTCCTTTTTTCTTTTCCTTCCTTCCCTTCTTCTTTTCCCATCTCTTCTCCTTAAAAAGAAGGTGCCAGAACATTTACCCCTTCCCCATTCTACAAAAGCCCCAGTGGCTGGGACAGCACTAACCACTCACAGTGGCAACAGGTCACACTGTCACATGAAGGATGCGAGTCATGACAACTAGGAATGAAACCCCAGTAGGGCCCACACCTGCCTCACCTCTCACTGTGTTCCTGCCAGCCGGCTGCTCCTGTGCTCCAGGTGCTCTGTGTCATTGGGAAAGGGCTGGTCACTTTTATGCAGGTGGATAGAGGAAATGCTGTCAAGGTTTACTGGGTGGGTCCACCTTCAGGAGATTGTTTTTCCCCTCATTTCTTTGGCATTGAATTTCCTTAATTGTTTTCTTTCTTCTTCTTTGTGATATAGTTGACTAATAGTTATTAAGAAATGACGCTTTTTCTGGATCTTGACACACAGTTTCTGGGAAAAATAAACTCCCCATCACCATGCAAATGAGAATGGCTTGCAATTCCATGTCTATACAGAAAAATCCAAGTTAGGTCACTTTCCCAGGAGCTGTGGCAAGCCACCAACTGTACCTGCAGTTTACCCTGCAGGCAAACTGAGGAAAGTACTCTCTAGATGGCCTCACCTTGCCAGCAGCCAGCCTCAAGAGACTCAGCAGGTGCCACTGGCTCCAGTACAAACCATCTTCCTGGTATCTCACATGTCTGGTGAGGATGGAGCATGTGCCAGGCATGAACTAAATGCTTCATATGCACTATTTTGTTTAACTTCATGGGGGAGTAATTTTTTCCTCCTATATGCAAAAGTTTCTTTGCACGTCATCTCTCCCCCTTTTATCTTGTTCCTTGGAAGTTCCTTTCACTCTCCATTAATGCAGAGAGAGAGAGAGGGGCTTAAGAGCTGGCAATGGCAGAGCCCAGAACAGAGCCTGGAATCCTTGATCTTGGGCAGAAGATCTTTGATCTAAATTACTTTTTTGTACAAACTCTCTACCATGAAGTTCTCCAAGGTTCAGGATTTGAATGATGGAAAAATACATAAGGTTTCCTTCTCAAACATGAATTCCCAGAATAAAGGGAGTTTCATTTACCAAATGAAGCAACTCTGGGATGGGGTACAATGAAAGAGCCCCCGCAAGGCTGGTACAAAAACCCTTGTTCCTGCATCACATAAGGGAGACCCATAGGTATAGCGGGCACTGGCAGAGAAGGAAGAGGGACAGGGAGGATCAGAGCCTTTTAAGAGGATAGGTGCAAGAGAAAGGAACCCCAGGGGCTGGAAGCCTTGTTGGCTAGTATCTTGGACCTAATGGAATAACACCTGTTGAGAGAAGCTGTAGGCTACAGTAGCCCTGAATTCAAAGCTGGGTTCTTCCTCTTCACAGAAAAACAGTGGAGGCAAGCTACTTGAGATCTCTCTGAAGCACCGTAAAAATCAACTGAGGATTTTAATGAGCTAATGGCCTGGCCTGTATCATAGTAAGTATGCCTTAATAAATATTATTTATTCCTGTGTTGTGCAACTACAGAAAGAGAGTACACCTTCCTTAAGAGTCAATGGGCATCCCTTTGCTCCTTCTGGAGAGGGGCAAATCGCTGCATTTGGGAATTTCCCCTCGCCACCCATTTCCCAAGGTGGAAGCAGGTGGGGAGGTGGGCGCCATTTTCCCAGCACAGCCTGAGCTGCCTGGTTCAGAGCCCAGCCTCACATGTGAGAGGATTGCAACATGTCCATGCCAAGTCCCACTCCACATTCATTCCCTAGTTCTGACCCAGCTTTTATTTCAGGGCCAAGATGTCACATCAGGAAGCTTGCAGGGGAAGGGAGATCTGTGATGTGTTTATTGCTTCTCTCCCAACATGCAGTGTGCCAGAGTGGTTGGGGTACAAGCTGGACTGATGGGCTGGAAGCAAGCCACTTAATCTCTGGACCTATTGATTCATCTATAAAATGGTGCAGACTGTGCCTACTGAATACTCACCACGTAGGTCATTAAATGTAAGCCCTCAGCAGTGGCTAGCAAAAGCAATTCAAAATGCTCGTCTTTGTTATTAATTTTAAAACCCCTAAACTAAGAGGGAAAGGAAATTATAAAAAGTGATTTCTCTCCATCCGAAGCCTTGCTGTCTAACACGTCATATAAAAAGATAAAATATAGATTGAGATGGAAAGGCACTCTTGCCAGGAGAGTAATTAAACTATGGATGTGATCTATAGACATAGAGCTATGTCTAGCCTTAGAACTGGAATTTCTAGAACCAGTTGATCCTCCACTGGAATACCAAGGCTCAATTTTCCTTTTGTTAAATGGGGAAGCAGAAAGAATATGAAGGAAGACCAGAAAGCCAAGAAGGCTTTCTGAATTTGACATGTAACTAGACACAGCTTTCTCATGCCTTCCAATTCCCATCCCCCACCCAATATTCCCTCTAATGTCGTGAATTGTTCACAGTGATGCAGTGCAATCTCCCCACAGTAGAGCCTGCCCATTCCCAAGTGCAAGTCCTAGAGCCGAGGTACAAACCACGCCACCCCAGTGGTACCATGCCCTTTCCTTCTCTGGGAATGAAGCTCCATGGAGTTGAGCACTATGTGGCTTACTGCAGGATCTGGATAAATGGATTGTGTCTATGGGAATAATTTTGGTTAGATTGAAAGGAGATCCCATTATGAGAACTAGAAAACACCAGAGAGTATGTCAGAGAAAGAATTCCTAGAAAAGCTAGGGGAAATGAGTCAAAACAGATGACAGAGAGCACACAGTTCATCCTTAATCAGTGGCACAGCAAGGCAGTACACATCTGTTCTCAAACCTCATCTCCTGACACAGTGTCCTGTCTCACCCCATGCTACCTTCTCTTCCTAAGGTCAGGTGGAATAGGAGGGAAGCTGGACCTTTGGTGACCTCAAGCCTGTCCAACAGGGAGGTGATATCACTCTCTTGGACCAAGCTGTCCTGATCTATGATTACCCAGGAAGCTGATGGACTCAGGAAATCCAAACTGGCCACACTCCTGAGCTAGTGGTGAAGGAAGGG